GCCAAGCCTGGTTCAGAGTGGTGGGCATGTGTTAAGAACTGACCGACTGCTAACAGGAATGGGCAGTCTAGGCCACAGGCACCTGGTCAAAGAAGAAAGCAAGGAGAAGAGAAGCAGAGAGACATACGGAGAGAGAAGAGAGGCAGAAAGATTTAAGAGCAACCGCCAGGAGGGCAAGAGGCATGGGGGGCAAAAAGGGATGCAGAGGAAGACAGAACCAGCCACAGGCTCTTGCAAGCAGGAGGGAGAAAGCAAGACAGCAGGGCCAGGGCAGAGCTGTTGGAGAGGGAAAGGCAGAGTGTGAGGGCAGATGGAGGAGAGAAGTTTGCCCCATGCTTACCGCCCCACACCTGCCCATGGGGCCAGAGGCCAAGGCCTGGCTGAAGGCAGTCAGAATGACCAGCGTGTGTCAGTGCCAGGGCAAGGGTTACACAGTGACAGGGCAAAAATGAAAGCAGCAGTGAAAAGGAGAGGGCTAGCAGCCCTGGCCTGGAAACCGGTCCACAAGTGTGGGAGGCTGGGCTCAGAAATAACAGGCGTTAATCTCTCCTGCGGCTGTGCACGGCATCTGCATGTCTGCCTGGCCATTGACAGTGTGCTTCTCTGGGCGCCCAGGACCAGGGCTGAGAGCAGGCCTACTCCTGTCCTCAGAGTTGGCAGGTCTAGAACCTTCGTCTGAGCACTCTAGAGTCAGTTTGTCCTTCTGCCGAGCCTTCTTCCTGCTGCTTGTTCTCAGCTCCCACCCTGTGCCCCACTGGACCGCCACCTGGAAAACCGCAGATGGCCTCTAGATGTGGGTGAGTGTAAAGACCAGGGCTCTCCGTTAGCCTGCGGACTGAAGGGTCCCAGGTTTGATTCTGGCCAAGGGCACATGCCCAGGTTGTGGGCTCAATCCCCAGTACGGGGCGTGCAGGAGGCAGCCAATCAATGATTCTCTCTCATCATTGATGTTCTGTCTCTCTCCCTCTCCCTTCCTCTCTGAAATCAATAAAGAAATATAATTTTAAAAAAAAGAAAAATAAAGACCAGGGCTCTCAGGGGCTCGGGCACAGGAGGATCCCCGAAGGGAGATGAGAAGACGGAGGACAGCAGCCTCAGTGAGATGTTTGAGTCAGCTTGGCAGCTTGGCCCTCTGCCTCTGCCTCCCTGGGGTCCATCCCACACACTGGGCCTGAGCTCAGAGCTATATATACCTCCCAGATGGACAGGAGCCCCTCTACCAACTCCCTGCGCAGTCCTTCCTTGGCCCAGACCTCATGCCAGGTAAGAAGAGATGAGGATAAGCCCACGTCTGGACCCTAGCAGGATCTGTACTCACGTAGGACAGGTGCTGTGGGGGCTGGGTGAGTCAGCAACACTGCCAAGCAGCCTTCAGCCCGAGCCCAGAGCCTGACCCACCTGGGGCTGGGCTAAGCAGAAAGCTAAGCAGGGGAGAAGACAGGAGCAGGTGGGAGGCTTTGTACAGCTCACAAAGGCCACTCAGGGCAATAGGGGAGCACTATATGAGGAGGCAGGAGAACTGGGCTCTAGCCCCGGCTCTCTCGCTTACTACCTCAGAGACTCTGGGATAAACTCTGGCCTCTCTGAGCTTCCCTCTGCATCTGCAAACAAAGTTTATAATTCCTCCTTCCCTTGAAAACATCAAAGGGATAACTGATATTAGAGGCCACTGAGTGCTCCTGTCTTAGCATAACTAGGTGGCTCCTGGGCTCTCTCCTCCTCCCAGGTTAATCTCTGTGCCATCCCCCCACCCTGTGGCCTCCTGGTCTTTCTGCATAGGGGGCAGCAACATGGCCAGGACAGTTTGCCAAACACCCTTTTCATCCTGCTCCACCGCCACCCCCCTTCTCAACAGCTCTCCTCCTTCCAAACAATTCTAACCCAAGGTCTGTCTGAAGTCCACAGACTTGCCTTTACTAAACCCTGGTCCAGGCACCACCATCTGGAGACGTAATATAAAGTCTCTTAACCCAATTCTCTTACAGGTAAAGTGAGAATAGAAATATCTACCCATAGAAACTAAATAAAACTAAGATCCACCCAAATGTCCATCAACAGATGAATGGATAAACAAAACGTGGTCTGTCCATACAATGGAATGTTAGTAAGTAAATCAAGCCAGACACAAAAAGACAAATACTGTATGATTCCTCCTCTATGAGGTACCTAAAGCAGTCATATCCACAGAGAAAGAAAGCAGAGTGGTGGGGCTGCCAGGGCTGGGGAAAGGGGTGAGTGAGGAGTTAGCATTTAATGGGTACAGAGGTTCAGGGGGGATGATAATAAAGTTCTGGAGGTAGATGGTGGTGATGGTTGCACAACAATGGGGATGTACTTCATGCCACTGAACTGTACACTAATGGTTAAAAAGGCAAATATTATATACTTTTTGCCACACACACAAAGAAACAGCTCAGCACCCAGAGTCTGGTGCACCATAGCACTCAACTAAATAAACGTCTGCTGGTTCTGCCACATTCCGTACCTCCATGGGCCTTCCCAGAGGCCTGAAAGCAACCTCAGCTCATTCCCTTTGCTAAATGCTTCTTGCACACTTGTTTGCCCAACAATTTGTCCCTTTAAAGCACAAAGACGTATCCTGCGAAGAGTCCTATGCACAAGTTATGGCTTTCCATCCAGGGACCCTGACAGCTCTCCAGCTAAACTACACGCCCCCCGGCCCCCCGCCTCCCCCTTACCCCTTCTCACCTCAGCTCATGATCAATACCATCCCACTCTCCACCAAAGGAGTGGAAAGAGCCTAGGGTCCCAGAGCCTGTTTCTCACCAGCTCCATGGGAGTGACCTATGAAAAGCACCCAATCCGACAACCGGCACCCAACAGGTGCTCCCTACATATCAGCGCTCACCTCCATGAACACATTGTTTGCGGGTAGTTTTTATCGCGCGCTAACAGGTGGCGCGGGCCATTTTAGCTAATTTTTTGCGCAAATGGCAACGTTCAGTAAAATTACGATAACTTTAGTTTATGTATTTATACGTTACCTGCATTCTACCGCTAGTCTATAAAAAACATATTAATACGTGTCCCACGCTCTACTACACTGGTAGAACGTATAAATACGTAAAACGTATAAATACATTTCCCGCATACAATGTGTGAAGCTTCCACAGGGGCCAAAAGAAGCAATAATCAAAAAGGGAAATGGTTAGAGTAGGAGTGGTACAAGGGGCTGACCCAGGGCATGGGAGCCCACAAAAGTAAGAGAGACTGTGGGAACCAAGCATAGCCATGATGATGGGCTGGTAAGAAGAGATGAGTAGTCCTAGCCGGATTGGCTCAGTGGATAAAGCGTCGGCCTGCGGACTGAAGGGTCCCGGGTTCGATTCCGGTCAAGGGCACATGCCCAGGTTGTGGGCTCTGTCCCTGGTGGGGGGCATGCAGGAGGCAGCCAATCAATGATTGTCTCTCGTCATTGATGTTTCTATCTCTCTCCCTCTCCATTATTCTCTGAAATAAATAAAAATATATTAAAAAGAAGACATGAGCAGTTTACTGGTGACTGCGGAGCAGACCTAGAGCTTGCTTCCCAACAAGCAAAAGAAAGAGAAGACCTCAAATTGGCCTTGTAGGGAAGGTTAAAGCATAGAGTAGAAGAGGCTTGAGAGCTCCATGACTCCCTGGGCCAGTAAACAACCAGATTTGAGTTTAGTCAGCTGAATTAAGCTGAATAGTGTGCCCCCAAAATTCTTGTCCACTGAGAACCTCAGAATGTGACCTTATTAGGAAATAGGGTCTTCACAGGTGTAATTAGTTAAGGTGAAGTCATATTGGATTAGGGTGGGCCCCGGTCCAAGGACTGGTGCCCTAATAAGAATATGAGAAGATACAGAGACAGACACAGAAGGAGCACGGCCATGTGACAGCCGAGTCAGAGGTGGGAGTGATGCAGCTAACAGCCACGGAACGGCAAGGACTGCCAGCAAGCACCAGAAGGCAGGAGAGAGGCATGGAGCGCATTCTCCCTCAGACCCTCAAAAGGAACCCGCCCAAGGACACCTGGATTTCACACATTTGGCCTCCTGAACTGCTGTTTTAAGCCACTCATTTGTGGTAATTTCTTACAGCACCCCTAGGCGACAACACAGCAGCCCCACGGGGGATCTGTGCTGAGAAGGGAGAACCTGCGTGGAAACCCCCAGGGTGGGCTCCTGGACTAGAACCAGCTTGTTGGAAGCCAGGGTGGAGCCCTCTGTTCTCAGGGGCTTTGGCCAGTTCCGGGGACCCTCTCAGCTCCAGTGCTTCAAGCTGAGGGCCCAGGGGGCTTTCCAATGGGAATGAAAGCCTGACTTGGGCCTTCCAACAGCTGCTCCGTTGTTGTTTTACTTTCCCAGATACCCTTTCTTCCATCCAAAATCAATCCCACGTGGCTGCTGGACAGTTTCTATATCTGTACATTCCGCATCCTCAGGCGCTCAGGAAGACCGAGCCTTCCTAGATGCCTCCCAGCGGAAGGGACCTTTCCTGAGGAAGGTCTGCAGCACTCTGCTGGATTCCCTCCTGACCCACTCCGCCTGCCTGGTCGTCAGCTACATGTGTGGCCACGCCTCACCCACCATATTGAGAGCAGGGACTAGATCTGCCCACCACACCTGGAACACAGAAGGCTCATGAAGGAGGGAATGAGTCCAGGAACCACCTCCGTGACCACCCTTCACAGCCAAGGTGGGGAGCTGGAAGATGAGGCATTTGCCTGAGGGATGGCTTGTGGGATGTTTCCAGTATTTTACTCCTTTCCCAAGTCTCCCACTACCCCAGCTCCTCACACACTCAAAGACTTCTCCTCAGATGCCCTCCCATCCCTTGAGAACCCAGCTCAGAAGAAAGCAGTGTCCACCTTTAGAAACGCCAAGAGATCATCCCCCTCCCTCATTGGAGGGGACCCCAAGGTTGCTGCGCCTCACGCCTTGCCTAGATTCTATTTCCAGAGCTGGACCATGAGGTCAGGGGCCTGCTGCCCCACCCCACAGGGTCCTTACCGTACATCTTGCCCTCATCCGACAGAATGATCTTGCGCCGGCCACAGGGTGGGTAGATGGCCAGGGCCTCCTGGAAGCTCTGCTCAATGTCCGGGCTCCAAACACCCTCCGCATCATTGTCAATGGGCTTGTCCAATGCCTGACTGCCCCCAGAGACGTTGCTCCCCTCAGGGGAGTTAGGAGAGCTCCACTCGTTGGAGGTAATGGTGCCGGCCTTGCCCTCCAAGGCTCCGCTTGGAGGAGCGCCTGTTGGACCTGTTTGGGCAGAAACCACAGTATTGGTGGAAGAACTAGGTGGGCCATGGGACATGGGTACCCAGGGAGTGCCAGGCCCACGACCAGCTGCTCTTCCTTGACAGGCCACTCACCACACAGGAACTTGGAGGGAAAAGGCCAGGGATTCTAGGAGACAAAGAGTAAAATGCAAGGTCTAGGACGATCAGAGGCCTAGGATCAGGCAGGTCACCTCCCCTCTGTAGACCTCAGCTTCCTACCTGTCAAATGAGCACAATGACCTGGGCAATCTCTAATCGCAGCTCCAAGAACCCAGACAGGGCTGGGAAGTAGGAGACAAGGATGGTCTGGCATTAAATCAATTATGGACAAAAAGGACGAAAAACACTCTGTGCTGCCCCGCCGGTGTGGCTCAGTGGTTGAATGTTGACCTATGAACCAGGAGGTTACAATATGATTCCTGGTGAAGGTACATGCCTGGGTTGCGGGCTTGATTCCCGGTGCAGGGAAGGGAAGTGGGTGCAGGAGGCAACCAATCAATGATTTTCTCTCATCATTGATGTTTCTATCTCTCTCTCTCCCTCTTCCTTTCTCTCTGAAATCAATAAAAAAATATTTAAAAACAAAACAAACACTGTGTGCTGCTGGCAGGAATATCAAATGGTACAGCCTGTGGGAGACAATATGGAGGGTCCTCAAAAAATTAAAACTAGAACTATCATGTGATCCAGCAATCCCTCTTCTAGGTATATATATCTGAAAGAACTGAAAGCAGGGTCCTGAAGATATATCTGTACACTCATGTTTATAGCAGCATTATTCACAATACCCAAGAGGTGGAGCAACCCAAGTATCCACAGATGGATAATGGATGAACAAAATGTGATATAGACATACAATGAAATATTACTCAGCCTTAAAAAAGAAGAAAATTCTGTCACATGCCACAACATGGATGAGCCTTGAGGACATCATGCTAAGTGAAATAAGTCAGCCACAAAAAGACAAATACTTGTCCACTTATATGGAGTATCCAGAGTAGTCAAATCCATAGAGACAGAAAGTAGCATGGTGGTTGCCAGGGGCTGGGGAGAGGAGGAAAGGAGAGTTGGTGTTCATGAGTATAGAGTTTCAGTTTTACAAGAAAAAATGTTCTGGAGATCTGCTGCACAACAATGTGAATATACATTTAACACCACTGAGCTATAGACTTAAAAATGGTTAATATGATAAACGTTATGTGTTTTACCACAATTAAAACTTTAAATTTAATTTAAAAAGTATGTCAAGTAAAATGCAGTTCACCATTCTCTATGACATTCAGCTTTGTCTGTTTTTATTTTTTATTTTCGGTTAATCCCCACCAGAGGATTTTTTTTTCCCATTGATTTTTATAGACAATGGAAGGGAGGGAGGGAGAGAGGAGGATAGAGAAACATTGATATGAGAAAGACACATCAACTGGTTGCCTCCTGCACGTGCCCCGGCAGGGCCGGAGGATCGAACCTGCAACCCAGGTACATGCCTTTGCCTGGGAATCAAACCCTCAACCCTTCAGTGTATGAGTTAACACTCTAACCACTTACCCACACCAGCCAAGCCTGGCTGTTTTTTTTAAAGAAAGCTTTTGGCCCTGGTGGATTCTCACATGTTGGGGCTCTGGCAAGTTAACTTGCTGGTGTCTCCAGAAGCTGACAACACATCCCTGCCCTTGCCATCAGCATAAGACAAATTCAGTGACCTCGGCACCAACTGTCCAAGCTATAAGTTTCTAGACACAGTTCTTAGGGATTTGGGAAGGAGCAGGACATACTAGTAATCTGAAGGCAGTTTTTAGATTATGAATACCAGGTGGGTACCATTTACCTCCCATGACCCTCCCTGAGCCCCCAGCCACTGAGCACATCTGCAAAGGAGGGTCTCTCCGCATCACACAGATCACCCCTTTCTCCCACCCCTGTTAGCCATGAGGACCAGTGTAGCCCAGCAGCCCGAACCCAGGGGTAGGAGTCTGAAGACCTGAGTTCCAACCCACTTCCATCCAGGATCCTCACAGATAAGACCTTCCCAGAGCATCCCTCATGCTTGAAGTCTCTCACCCCCAACCCAGACATGTTAGCCCAGTGGTTCTCAACCTTTCTTTTTTTTTTTTAAATATATTTTATTGATTTTTTACAGAGAGGAAGGGAGAGGGATAGAGAGTTAGAAACATCAATGAGAGAGAAACATCAATTAGCTGCCTCTCGCACACCTCCTACTGGGGATGCACCCGCAACCAAGGTACATGCCCTTGACCGGAATTGAACCTGGGACCTTTCAGTTCGCAGGCCGAGGCTCTATCCACTGAGCCAAACCGGTTAGGGCCAGTGGTTCTCAACCTTTCTAATGCCGCAACCCTTTAATACAGTTCCTCATGTTGTGGTGACCCCCAAACATAAAATTATTTTCCTTGCTACTTCATAACTAATTTTGCTACTTTTAATGAATCGTAATGTAAATATCTGATATGCAGGATGTATTTTCATTGTTACAAATTGAACATAATTAAAGCATAGTGATGAATCACAAAAACAATATGTAATTATATATGTGTTTTCCGATGGTCTTAGGCGATCCCTGTGAAAGGGTCATTCGACCCCCAAAGGGGTCATGACCCACAGATTGAGAACCGCTGTGTTAGCCGAACATTTCTTCACAGAGAGGTGGGTATGAGGGTCAGTGTGGTCACCATCCAGTGAAGGAAAGGGAGGAGCACAATGTGTGTGTGTGTGTGGGGGGGGGGGGGGGAGTCGGTTACTGGGGGGCATACCTTGGGAGAGAGTAGAGGTTCCAAGGAACTTAGACTGCTGGCCCAGGCCTGAAGTTAGAAAGAGGTTAAACCATTGAAATTAAAACAGGAACCCCAGGGGAAACCTAACCCAATCCCTTCAGCTTGCAGATGAGGACACTAAGGCCCAGAAATGCCTAAAGACTTGCCCAAGGTTATATATAACAAGTCAACAGATCAGCTGGGTCTTGATCTCTGCCCTCACATCCCAGGCCTTTTAGCATAATTAAAGTTGGCTTTCTCTCTGTGGCTGTTAAAATCATTTTCCTCAAAGTGTGTCCAAGAGGGTCACCTGATCTGAAAAAAACTAGCTTATTCTCCACCTGAAATTCTTGTCTTGATGCTATCATGAACCCTGACCTCTTTTTCTATACCTTCCAAAACAAAGTTCTTAAAAGAGATGGAACTTAGAAATGACAAATATAACAAATACTTTTTTATTTATATTTTAACAACAGCCATTTTATTTATTTATTTTTTACTTTTAAAAATATATTTTTATTATTGATTTCACAAAGGAAGGGAGAGGGAGAGAGAGATAGAAACATCAATGATTATAGAGAATCAGTGATCAGCTGTCTCCTCTTTCACGTCCGCCCCAACCAGGGACCGAACCAGGGCATGTGCCCCAACCGGGAATTGAACTGTGACCTCTTGGTCCATCGGTTAATGCTCAACCACTGAGTCACACAAGCTGGGCAACAGTACACTTTTAAATACATGGCTAACTTCAGAAGAAAGTAAACCCCAGAAGCCCAAAATGAAAAAATGCTAAACTACAGAAATAAGCAGATGAGCTATTACTATAGTAGCTCTAGGAGGCAGGGCATGAAGCTAATCTTAGTACTAAGGCCACTGGGTTTAATGGTTACTCGGAGATGAGACCTTAGACCTGAGAGATACAGGGAGGTTGGAACTGGGAACTATACCTCAATCTTCACAGAAAAGATAGAATCCCAACAAAATATGACAGGGAAGGTTATCTTGGCCTGAGCTCTAGGTATAAAAAACAAAGGTCATGCCTAAGAATTTGTAACAAAAGGCCTACCAGTAAGCGGATTTGAGATTTAAATTTTATATCACTCAGGAACTCCTAGCCAATTCACAAAATAAATAGTGGTCTCAAGCTGAAAAATCTCTGAAAAGACAATTTTAACCCAGACTGGGGAGAATTACCAAAGGTAATGCTTTGCTAACGAGGGTCTCAAAATCCATAACTACAACATATAAGAAGAAATAATCTACCAGGATCAAAATTAGATCCCCAAGAACTACAGATAATTAAAATATCAGATTAAATATTATTCTATTAATTGTGTTTAAAATACTTATTGACTTAAAGAATTGGAAACATAAGAAAGAATTAGACACTATCAAAAAATGCAAAGTAGACTGGAAAAAGGACAAAATAAAACATTTAGAAATAAATATTTTAGTCACTAAAATTAAAAACTCAATGACTGAGATTAACAGCAAATTAGATACAGCTACAGAAAAAATTAACAACCTGAAAGATAGATCTGAGGACATTATTCAGAGATATATAATTTGTAAATGATTATAAAAAGCAAGGAGAATAAAAATGCAGTTCAACATGCCTCCAATTAGCATCCCAGAAAGAAAGACTATAGAAAATGAAGTAAAATAACATTTGAAATAATAATGATAGGAAATTGTCCATAATTAATGAAATACATGAATTCTCCAATCCAGGAACCATACTGAATCCTAACCAGAATTAATTCAAATAAAATAAAGACATATTACAGGTACACTTTAGAAAAACAAAAACAAAGAGTAGATCTTAAAATCATGCAGATTGAAAAAGGACAGAGTACCTACAAAGAAAGGTCTACTATATATATGTATTTAATATTTATTTATTTTAAGTTAATTGGGGTGACAGGGACTATTATATTGTGTACATTGATCATGAATGTCTCAACAGTACACTAGAAGACCCAAAACAACATTTCCAAATTGTTGAGAAAAAAATAACTGTCAACCTAGAATTTTTTCTTTTTATTAAATTTATTGGGGTGACGTTGGTAGTAACATTATATAAGTTTCACATGTACAATTCTATAATATATCAATTTCCTTCCATCATAATATATTTGACCCCCTTCCCCCTCTGGTAAATGCCATACTGTTGTCTGTGTCAATAGTTATTTTGTTTTGTTTTGTTTGTCAG